GGCAGGGTTCTTTATCTTAATGTATATTGTTAAAAGGAATGATTTCAGAAAACTGCAGGTGATCCTATTTTTAAAAATGAAAAAGACCATAAAACCTGAAAAAAAGTGCAGACACTTCAGAAGAGAGCAACTCTCTTGGGGACTGGAAGTGAGAGACTTTAGCTCAGTGTGTTTGTCTTGCAAACTGATTGCAGTCAATAAGTGAGTTTTCAGAGAAAAAAAAAATTGTGCCATTTTTGCCTGTTTCTGGGTAACATCTGTAATGACTGCCTACCCTTCTGGAAGCTACCGAAACTTTCTGTCTTTTATTTAGGCATCTGTTACCCAATGCAGTGCAGAGATTCTGCACACAGGAAATCCGAGTGCATGGCGTGTGTTTGTGGGCGAAGCCACAGAGCAGACAAATAGGGCGAACGTGCTGCCAGAGTGGGCAGCAAATGCTCCCCACTCCCAACACAGGCACCTGGCGAGTCTCTGCCAGCCCAGCAGTTGTCAGCTGGGTGGGCTGTGTTTGGAGCAAGCCGGTCTGTGTCTTGCCAAGTTGTCGTCTTCTGAGTCTCGGCATTTTTTCTTGGGGTTTTTTTTTCCACGCTGGTATTTTTCTCAGCTCTCTGAGATACAAGTGGCTGGGCAGCAAATGCTCCCCACTCCCAACACAGGCACCTGGCGAGTCTCTGCCAGCCCAGCAGTTGTCAGCTGGGTGGGATGTGTTTGGAGCAAGCCGGTCTGTGTCTTGCCAAGTTGTCGTCTTCTGAGTCTCGGCATTTTTTCTTGGGGTTTTTTTTTCCACGCTGGTATTTTTCTCAGCTCTCTGAGATACAAGTGTTGTCTTAAGAAATTAATGTCTGTCATTCTGTTTTCCTTGCAAATCTTTGGCTTACCCACTATAGAGGTAATTGAAATGTGTTAGTCCACGGCGAGCAGGAGGTCATGCTGGGTGATCTGATGGCCTATTCTGACGTCAGACTATGATTCCATGAAGTTGGCCAAAATCCTTTACTCATTTGAAACTGTTAGGTCAGACTGTCTGGAGGTGTGTAAAGAAAGAAGAGGAGAAAAGAAACTGGTGAAGTGAATGTTTGGAAGGCCTTTTCCTTGGTTGTAAAGACAAGATTCTAGAGTTCATCTTCAGAACGGTATTTTGGAATTAGAATTAAAATTCCACACCGTCAATCCTCAGAGCTCTGCTCATAATAATTTTAAATAAAGCAGTTCCCTCAGGACTGGGCAAAACCTCTGAAAAGATTAATTTCAATTGTAAAGTCTAATAATAGCAGTGTAAGATATGTCCAAAAAAAAAAAAGAAAACTGGAGCTCAATATGGCATAATGAGTTATAATAATGTAATATCTGTTAAAGTATGTACTGGAAAACAAAGCTAAGCACTTCTGAATTCTAAGTATGAACTGTGCAGTTAACTGAAAGAATAGGTTGCAGTCTATTTATTATTGTTGGGCAAGTGACAGTATCCCTAGCTCAGCTATTTAAGGAAGGATATGCAAGTGCTGAATCTAAGTTCTTTTTATCCAAAGAGATTTTTTTAAAGGATGCTTGAGCTCATTTTGAGTCGTGACATGACTTTGTAATGTCAGATCTACACTCTTTTCCTAACTCTTGTTCACTCTGCAAGTTTTACACTCTACGTCACCTCAAAAAACTGGCTGCTACAGGTGGAGGTTGGATGTCGGAAATGTCAGTAACATTGCTCTAGTTGCAACCGATTTATTTATAGCTTTTTTCATAAATATTAACTGCAGTAGTTCCAGACACACACTTTTGCTTATCCTGGAAGCTAATGGTTTTTCCATAATGGCCACTTTGCGTGAAGTCTCATTTAAGAAGAATGGGGCTTTTTATGATATATGAAGGAGTATAAATAAGTAAACATAAGGAAGGGTTACTAAATATACCTTGCTGGTTCCATTAACTTTTTAAGGGATTTTCTCTTGTTTTAAGGATCATACCTGTAATGTCCACAATCTCTTTTTAGTCCCTTTGCATGTGAATTTCCAGTTCTTTAGGAACTTTCACTATTCTGCAGTCAGAGGAGAAGCGTTCGTTCCTGTGTGTAGTTCAGATGTATATATGTGGGCATTCCTCTTAGTCTGGACTTTTCTGGCAGAGTGAATTTTCTGCCAAGGAGCTGTGAGTTGGAAGCTTCTTGGCAATGCAAATTTGTCTGCCATCAGGTCTGTGCTTCTGGGGCTAGACTGCTTCTTAATTACCTCATTTAAAGATAGCTTGGGTATCTCTGTCCCACACTGAAGTCTATCATGTAGATATCTCCAAATCACTGAAGTGTGCAAGGATTTTATTACTTTATCCGTGTCCTCATTTGTATTGCTGGCTCTGTTGATTTCACCACTTTACTGGGGTTTGTATTTCTTTGCCATAAACACAGTGGTTAGTTGATCTGCCAGTATTTGCACATTTTTGATTGATAATTATTTTATGTCTTGTAATACAAGTACTGTTGGAAAGACAGTCTCTTAATTTTTATGATTTTAATTTCTGACTCTGAAGGTGGTAGCATTCTAATTCTAGTTAGTAGCTGTTTGTTTGAATTCTCCAGTTTGAGGTTCTCACAGATTTGGTAGGTATAGGTGAGCATAACAAAACTCAGTTATTTGGTAGGGATCATTTGGTAAATGTATACAAGAAATATTGTTAGATCATGATTCAACTAAATTTAAACTCAGCATACTTTCAGTGATGAATTTATTCTAGTTTTAAATTTTTTTAATATACAGCTTTGAGCTTTCAAGTAGGACTTGATTAATTTGGGCAAGAAATTAATTAATTCAGGCTCCACTGAAGAAATGAATTAGTTTTCCTTCCTGTACTTTGGGGCTTGTTCCTTGGAAGTATTAGTTTTGAATACCTGGATGATGTTTATTAAATCATGGTGCTGCTACCACGCAAGTTGTGAAATTAAAATGGCACTTCAGGCCCCAATGCTGTTTGTAGAAACAGTTAATTTCTGCCTGCAGATCCATAGGTTTAGCAATAACATATAATGTTTTTCATTTGATTATGTATTTAATTCTGTATTAAAGAACTAAAATAGCATCAGAATAGCACTTGATAAATAGCAAGATATAACCTCATCTGAAAATCAAGTATATTTACAAGTAGTCCATGTTTGCTGGGTGGAGAGGGGAGGGAAGGAGGGATAGAGAGAAGAAAACAACCTCTTAAGATGAACTGAAATATTCTCAGAAGCCAGTTGAGCATTTGGTCTTCTCTATGAAAAAGAAACCCAGTGGCTTAATTTTTTTGGAGGTGACATATCCCCGGTACATTGTAACTTTACACAGGAAACTGCTGCATCACAGGCCAAATGGGAAGACGCTTTTCTGACTCTTCAACAAGAGTATGGTAGCTTGATGCAAATAGAAAATACTGTGACAGCTGTAAATCACAGCCTTGTAAGTAAGCAGAAGGCCACAGTAGTCCCAGTGGGCATAGCGATTCCATTTTTTGGAAGTAAAATGAGACTTGTAAAAAAATGTTTCATTTATCTTCAGATGAGTCACAAAGCTTCATAAACTGGTGAAGTGGTGGAGAGCAGAATACTCCCCATGTTCAGTATCCTTTTTAAAATGTCATTAGTTTCTTCAAATAAATCATTAAACTTTTATTTGGTTAATGTTGAGCTTGTTACCTGACTGTAAATTTGCTGATAAGACTATTTCAGTTTCAGGTTAAAAGTCAACATACATTCAAATACAGAGGAACTCTAATTGTCACTAATACAAAAGACAAAGGAAGATGCTAGGTCAAGCTTCCTATAATAAGCTGGCGAGTTCACACAGTTTCCATGCCAATGTGCCTTTTCCATAAGGAAAGAAAATACGACCTGGCTTCTGCTGCTGCTGCTGTACCGCTCTGTAGAAACACATTATAGATAGCTGTACATTGATTGTTTGGACAGATAAGAGGTGGAAGATAGCGCACAACAGCATAACCCCCCCAAATGTATGGATAGTGGTGTCACGTTCCAAACTAATAGCTTCGTTTTTCTCCATCATTTAACCACCCGAAGAAGAACTGGAATTTGCGGGCTGTAAGGAGGAACCGAGCATTCAAAACACACTAACTTGATAATTAAAATAAACTGCCCTATACAATACTTAATTTTATGTTTAAATCCTAATTTATGTTCCTTAAATTAGAGGGTCAGATTAAACAATTCCATTAGAGGGCAGTAGTACGTGTAGGTACAACATATCTTGTACTAAGTATTTAGTTTACAGACAACATCACTATGAGCTGTGTTCTGTATAATTTTTGCATTATTAGTGAGAGGAAGAGAAAAATGAATCTAATGTAATTTAACATATTAAAATAATGTAGAAACATTTTGTAGTATACCAGTACAATAATGTCATATATTAAAAAAGCAAAATGAATATGGCAGAAATAATACAAAATATACGTAGCAGCTTTCAGCACTGTGATATTCCAGCTAAAATATCAACTCTAAAATTGTTAGTCTTTCTGCATTCTTTCTGAATTACACAATTTGTATGTTGTATAACTTTATTTCTGGGAAGTTTATGGGTATTTTTAAAACATCTTACTTTTGAAACTGTTTTTCTTTATTTTATTAGCTTTACTGCTTAAGTTCACGTGCAGACTTTCTAGATTTCCAGGCAGAGGATTGCAGAAATGTGCATGCTTATCAGGCACCTTTTAATGATTAAGCAGTGGTAGGATATTGTGATTTGGCAATGATTTCTGCAAAAGATTTAGGTTTTGTATGAGTTGTATCTTCTGAGACATTTGATAATGAAGTGTGAGGCATGAAAGCCTAAATGTTTAGATTCTGTCTTTATTCATACTCCAATATTTTATTTGCTTTAATAGCTTTAAGCAGATATACCTGGCTAATATGGCTAGTTAAATTCATACCAGTTTAATACTTTACTATGTTGTATATGTCTAATCCAAGCAATACTGCAAACATACCATTTCTTTTTCCATTTTCAGTTGTGTTACTTGATACTACAGCTGCCCTCGGGGAACTAGGATGGAAAACATTTCCTTTAAATGGGGTAAGTCGCTCACAATTTTGGTTTTATTGTCTTGATTTTGGCATTCTGCCACTCTGGAAGTGAATGGCTATTATACCTGGGTGGATATTTTTGCAATATAGACTTGTCAGAAAGATTTTATTTGTTCTCAGGACTGGAGCAGCCTGTGTTGTAAGTAGGAATAACAGACGTGAGAAGGACATGAGTACACGTTATTATGCCCTTCTCTTGCTTTTCTGAATGTTAAGAATCTATCTTACTTTAAATTGATTTCTAACTGTTACACATCATAAAGTTCCATATTAAAAATTCCTACACTGGAGGAATCTGTTATAGCTACATTTTTTGTGAAATACAAGGAAAAATCAGTTTCAACTTGAAACAAAACTTTAGTGATTTAAGTGAGGTTTAATATGGACTTTAGCATCCAGTAAAATAGTATCAGATTAGCTAAATCAGAAAAACATTATAAGTATGTTAATGTCATTAAACCAGTTTAAACAGAGAAAATATTTAGATGGTTTGGGGTTTTTTTCCTGCACTGACTCTTCTAGATTAAAGTTTGCTATTCCAGCTCAATGTCTTACATGGGTTCACTGTACTGCTAGTACAGGTTACCAGGAGGCACCTGACACTGTGTACAGGGCCCCAGAGTGTTAGCGGTGTCTGGTATGCTTGGAGCTGGTGCGGCCGTGGAAGTGTGGGGCAGAGCAGCATTTTTACTCTTTGATGTTCAAGCACCAGTGCTTTGCCAGTGGCTACACTTCCAAACCCCATCTTCTCTTTCCAACTGGCTAATGCACACAACAGAATATCAGAGGCATTTGTAGTTTAACTTTTTAGTTAAGATACAGTATACTGGAGCATTTAACACCTATTTTATCAGCTTCTAGTTCTGATGTCACTATTATCACTTATTTTTATGTTAGCTGGCATTGTCTCTTAATTCTTTTGTATGAGGCATATAATTCCTTGCTTCTCTGGAATGAGCTCAGAAAACAGTTTTTCTGAGTGAAGAATCTTGTTTCATTTTTAATTATTTTATTTCTTGTGATCTGTTCCAGAAGGAAGTAGAAATTGTCTATCCTCAGCACCCTAATAATCCATTTTTATAAAATGCCTTCTGTGTCTCTTCCCTCAGGAATTTCAGGCAATGTGACATTTCTTAATCTCAGCCTATTTTCAACTTCATGGATTACTCTTTCTCAGGGTTTTCCAGTTCTTTGTATTCTCAGACATAATTTCAGTCTGTTACAGATACTCCTGTGTTTTACATTTTGTATTCAGTCTCATGCGATCTGAGTTATAATTCTGAAAGTTTTATTTACTTCAGAAATCCTAGACAAAGCAAATACTGTCATACATTATGATGAGAAAATACAGGAAGGAATTCTTGCTTTAGCAAAAAGCAAATAATGTCATGTACCATGATGAGAAAAATATAGTGAGGAATTTTTTTCTCTAGCTTTGTGATGAGCTCCGTTGAATTGAACAGGGAGGCTGGTATTTGGAAAACACACAAGCTGTAATTTCAGTTATTCTGTAAATTCTTAAAAGCTTTAGTTACTCCGATAACAGTAACCACAGTATACAAGCACAAAACCCCCCTGCACTCAAAGTTGATTTAAAACATAACTATTACAACATATCTCTCTTGGTTGGTCATACATACCCTTAACATTAGTTTTACAGCATATTGAGGTTTTCAGGCGTCTTAGGACCTTTGCTGTGCTTTAAGAATTGGCAGCACTTAGTAGAATACGGGGAGTTTAAATTTGAATCAGTACTTGGAATTCAATCATTAGGTAATTTCCTAGATAAGTACAATTTGGTTTTTAAAAAAGTAGCTAGGGCAATTATGTGGGAGAAAAGTGGTTTGTGGCATGAGGAAAACATACAGAGTAAGGCTTCCTGGGACATAAAATAGGCAGAAGAGGCTGGAGTGAAAACTGTGAGAGGAATTGGATAAATTAAGTACAGCGAGGTAATTAAGAGAAGTGTGCATGTACTGTTAACTCAGGAAGAACATATGTCTAAACTGTTGATCTAAGCTATAAATGGGAAAAAGATTCATGTGCACTACAACAAAGAAGTTTTTGAACAAACTTTTGGGGAAGTTGTACAGGTGAGAATACATGATTTGGAGAAGCATGATCCGCTTAAGAAAGAGACTGTAAGGTATCAGTCACTTACAGCAGGAGATGACTGGATATGCTGACAGACAAGGTCCTCCATTTCTCACAGTGGAGTGAAGGAAAATGCCTTAGGTCAACATTCCAGGGAAGGCTGCTGTGAGCAGGAGGACCTAGTGGCAATGCTGCACCTCTGAAACAGTGCAGAAAGAAGGAACAACAAAAAACCCGAAATAAATTGTGGCGACAAGTGACTTACATGAAATGAGAGTTATTTCTGTCACGCACTGAGAGTTATGCAGAACTGCTGATTAAAATTGATATTTGCTGATTTTTGAGAGTTAGTGCCATTCTGACAAACTTCATTAAAATATACCAGATGTACATTTTGGTTTAGATATTTAATCATACTGAAAAATTGCATAAAGTTGTTAAAATATGAAAAGTTACATTACTTTGGCTTATAAATTATTAAAGATCCTAAAGTTAAAAACTGATCTGGAATGTATTTCTAAACTGTTTCTATTTAAGATATTCTGGGCTCCTGTACCTTACACAAAGGTAAAAAGAAAATTGAGGTTACAAATGCTCATGTAATTAACAAAATATAACATTTGTATGCTTCTTCATGTCACTTTTGTATGCAATCTCTGAAACAAAAGGCCAATGTTCATGTTAAATATTACTTGATTCTTATTAAAATGTAAGGCAAAATAGTGCTTTTGGGGTTGGCTAATAACTTCTATTATGCTTACTGATTTAGTAAAGAACAGTAAAACTTGTCTTTCTAAATCTTGCACAAACATCAGAGATGTTGTTTTATGCAAACAGTACTATCTAATGAGTTACTTATCTGTCCTAATATAATTCAGAATATGGCATAATTATTGGTGTGATTGAGTTTATCACTGCAGAAATAAGAGCCTATTTTATCCCAAGATGGGCACACCAGCATTTTCCCTTTTCCTGGAGGAGAGTGACAGGTTTTGGTTGGTTTGTGCTTTTGATAGAGATTTTCATTCAGATACTGCGTAAATCTTACATGGTACTTTAATCAAACTTTTATTTTTCAAAAATAATTGTGGGTGTGATGTTTATGTGTGTAAGAAAAATACCATTGACATACGGTTACTGCTCTGACAAACATTTTTGCGGTTATGAGGATGGGATGATAGGTTTTCTTGAGACTGACATTAACAGAAGTCATTATTTTACTGGCGTACTCAGTCACAAAGGATGTTCCCACTAAATTAAATAGCAACTGAAATATTAATGCTTTGGATTTGGGTAATATTTATTATGCCTCAGAGATTTTAAACGGACAGGCTAGGGTGAAGTAGGAGAAAAAATTAGGAGGTATCCTTTTGGAATTTTCAGAACCTTAACCTTCACCTCCCAGACTTTTTATTTGTACTAGATTCATAATGTAATATTTGCAAGCTTTCATCAGTTTTGGTAACTTTTAGAGGTACCTGCCCAAGCAAGTAAATACAAAACACACTAGTTTTCTTTGTGTCATTTGTATGCAATCCCATCATTTAGCCGCAAAGATGAGTCATGCACAACTGTTATCCATTCCTTGGTAATATAATATGTGATTTTATTTTTTCATTTTCTTCCCAGTTATTTGTACAACCTTCCTGAAGCATGAGAATACAATAGTTTTTCTTACAAATGTGTTTTTTTTGTTTGCTTGTCAGATTTTTTCCTTGTATTTTGAACAGGTAATAAATTAAGTGCTTAGAGCTACAAAAATGCAGCGTGAAACATTAATATCTTTGAGGTCAAGAGAATCAGCTTTTGTTGATTGAGTTCCAAGTTAGCTTCTCAGTGATGGGCTGTCTAAAATTTCTACTTTAATAATGGGCACATCTGATACTTCCTCTGTTCTTTGGGCTATAGTTCAAAATGACCGATTGATTTATGAAAAAGCATGTGCTATGGAATGAAAGTAGGTATTTACTCAACAACTGTCACTCCATAACCTTGAAAATGCCAGATAAGTTTTTTAGGATTAGTGCAAAAAATGGGAAGGAATCCCTTTGTAGATTACAAAAGAGGATGTGAATGTGAGGTAGTGGGCAGGCCAGTCAAGTTCATGTGAACCATTAGCCAGGGTTCCAGCTGAAGTCAGTTTGCTGACCTTGGGGACAGGATTTTTTTTCTCAGGTTCTCCCACTACAGCCTGTGCTGCTGTGACTATCAGAAGGACAGTTTTTTTTCTAGAGGATTAAGCACTGTTTAAGTTGTTAATAGGGTTTTGAAAATTAGGGAGGAAAGGAAATAACTTGAAAGCCTAACTGAAATGTAGTGGTCCACAACCTTCACTTACCGATTAGCAATACTAATAAAATAATGTACCTTGGGTGACTCCAGTTGTTGGGTTTTTTCCTTCTGACTTCAATGTAACCTTTTTTTAAAATATAATTTATTTCCCATTGCATTAAGGAATGTAAGAATTCTGTGAGCAAATTTTGCCCGTGAGCTATGGTTTGGAGACTATTGTCGTAAGAGCCTGACTATTCCTGGTCAACTTCTTCCATAAGTACTCCTACTTAACTCTAACAATGCCTTATTTTGCATGAGCTGAATCTACTTTGCAACTGTTAATTTGGAATAAAGTGTACGTATTTGAAGAAGAAAATTAATAAGTAAAAAATATTCTGTTTCTAATATTAATCTAAATTTTAACGTGTATGTAGCCACTTCATAAACTCCAAAAAGTTTTTAAAAGAAGCATTATAGAAGGGCAAGGTGACTCATAACACAAGGCTGTGAGAAATTATTTACATGTGGAAGGGGCTTGTACAAGCTACCTTGACTTGTCATGGTAGGCAAAATCTATAGCTTCAGCAGTAAAGAGCCTACTAGAAGTCCTCTAAATTATTT